ATGTGCGTTTAGACGCGTCTGGGAAATTTTTTCTTAAAAAAAACGCGCTATAACGCGTCTGTTACAGAAAAAACGCGTCAAACCGCGTCTTTTCAGACGCACAGAATTTACATGGGTAGCAGCGATGCACACAGCTTCACAATTAACCGCTGGTGATTATATTTGTACAATAATTGATTCAAATGGCGATAATGTTACTAAATAAATTATTATTTCGCAGCCATCTTTATTACATTTATCTTCATTTGTAACAGAAGTTGGATGTCCAAGTGGCAATGATGGCTCATCGACCATCCTTGCACTTGAGGATTGTTCGGGAATCAAGTGAACAACAGAAGGAAGGCCCCAAAACCGCTTTTGACCTGAGGAAGCGGAAGTATGAAACATCCGCTTGGTCATTTAACACTTTTTTCTTTTCAATTTATCTACAGTATTGATTGAGGTAGTTTCTGTATGAACACATGATCATTGTCGACGACAAAAAAGTCAATTGCAGTAGATTGGCTGTTTTCTACCTGCTATCTTTACCTTACGGTATCCCGAAGTCATTTTCGCCAACACGAGCTTTAGACAGATTAAAACTTGCAGTAAATCTACTGCTAAGTTTTATGCCTACTTATCTTGAACCAAAATGGTGATACATTTCTTGCAGTCACCTACTTCGTTCATGTTTTGGCCAAAAAATAAGTCGACTACAGTGTAAGTATAATTGTTGCTTTGAAAATAATATAAACCCTTTGGATAAAGCACGATGTTTGTTTAATTTTTTAATAAAAAAGAAATAATTATGCATTTATCTAACGATACTTACTATTAATAAACTCTTAATTATGTTAAACAAAGTTAAGGGTATTGCACTAAAATTCGTATGTATATCTAACGTTTTTTGAGATATGAAAGACATTTGATTGGTCACATTTCTAATTCCTAGAACTACACGGGGAGGCAGAAATGGCCACTACTGACTACGAGAGGGAAGAAACGGTTAAAAATATTTAAAAAACTGACCTCATAGTATCCGTTTGCACCTGCACCTTATGTTTATTCGTTTATATCAAAATCTTGTAATAGCAATGTAGCCGATAATCTGTCCGCCGGTAACTATAACTGGATTGTCACAGATAAAAACGGATGTACAGCCAACACAGGAATAATTTTTACTCAACCAGCCATCCTCAATCAATCCACTGATCAAATTGCAGACGTTGGTGCAAATGTCAGTTTTACAACTGTTGTGGATAAACCGTCCGAAATGAATTATCAATGGCAAATAAGCAATGATCACAGTTTCACAAGTATACTCGAGGATAAAGAAGTATTTTCCGGTATAAGAACATCAACACTCAGAATTACTCTCATTAATACCGCATTAAATGGTAGTCGATTTCGATGTTTAGTAGGATCAGCCTGTATGAGTTCGTCCTGTTCAGCCAAACTTACCATTTTATCTTAAGATAATATATTATTTTCACATACTTAGTGTTTTCTTGTGACATTTTCACTTCATTCTTTTTCAAATAAATAGGTGAAGGTATTAAGTGATTATAAGGCACCAAAATGAATCAGATTTTCGAAAAATCCACTAGATAACCGCTTCTGAAATTCTTTAGCAAATACTTTATACGTCGGTGACTGAGGGACGTTTCGTTTTGATTTGATTTTTCAGCAAAGATCTCGGTCGAAAAATTCGAAAAAATTGAAGTTCTTTAAAAAAAACGACTTTAAGCTCTGTATCAGACTGTAGCTTGAATTTCGAGTTCTCGCGTAACTCGAAGCTAGGTGCACACCTAGTTCAGAGATATTTTATGTAGTTTTGAAAAACTGGTATATATCCGAGAAATGTTAAGTGATTGAGCTAACGAGCTTTGGTACTTTTAAGTTAAAGGACAGTAGAAATAGATGGTGGCTTACATAGTATCAGTTGATGTTACTAACGTAGTTGTACTGAAATGAAAAAAAACAAGAAATGATATAATCAATTTCAAAAAGTATCTGTTACTAATTACGCAGTGGTGGACTTTGACGACATCGTGGTTGTTGTTATTACAGTGGAACTAACTGCGCTTAGTACCACAGTATTGTTGACAGTAGTTGGTAGTGTCGTAGTTTCCGTAGTCGTACTACAAAATTCGAAAACAACCAAGAAAATAATGACTTCCAGTCTGTGTGAATATTCTGTTAAAAATAACAGAAATACCCAGAAATCAAGCCTTTTGAGTAGTATAGACGAGAGTGCAGATCGAAGTAATTTTATGCAAACTCGTGACGATGGAACTGTCAGAAATCATTCCATACGTGGACGGTTGAATAGTGGTGACGACAGTTAGAGTTGCACTTGTGCTCGCTACTGTTGTGATAATGGTTGTTGTTGTTGTTTGGCCACGACAAGTGGGAACACTCGAAGCACCAACAAAAAATGTTATGCAATATTGTGGTAATTGGACACTAGCACTAAAAGAACAAAATTGTTAATAATGTTTTCATGATGCGTTTCCATTTCCCTCGTCTAAAACCAAAACAATCGAGTCGCTCTGTTAGGTTTACAGTGATTGCTTACTTGTTAACGGCCATAGCACAAAATATTTGGAATCCAGCTTGTTGCGGTGTTGGTGTCCAGCTCAATAACATTGAATAGAGTGAACTATTTGTTTTAATTAGAGATCCAGTACGCATGCCAGCAAATGATTGTGTGCCAATATCGAAAAATAGTTACTGAGGGGCCACAGTCATTTCTTGCTAGTAGTGTGGTATTGTACTGTATACCAACTTCGACTCCGATGCACGACTCATCCGGGGGACTTCCGATGATTTGAAGCGAAATTATACACGATGGTGGCGAATAGATATGAAGAAGAAATTGTGCCGGAATGGAACTAAGAGAAATTTGACTACTACTATTTACAAAATCTTCAATCTAAAATACAAGCAAGTAACACATAATAGTTCTGATGGATGTTCCGATCTTAGACAATGCGATTAACAAGGCGATAACAGATGTTACGCATTGATTCAAGAAGGAAAAACACTGTGTTTACCATTATAGCGCCAGTATACCAAGCACCAGACACGTTGCCTCTAACAATCATCGTACAATTGCTGAATAATGTTATATTTTTTGATACGCTAGTAGGTGCACAAACATCAGCACATTCATTTAATGATGAATTTGCCCATCGACAACGTACATTATCATTGTCTGCATCTATAACTGGTATAACAAGAATTTGCTGAATATTCATTGGTATATTGATAGGTGACATCACGCCTGCAACCGGAGGCGTATTGATTTTACCAGTATCATTTCGAATCCTACTATCAATTGTACAAGTAAGAATCTAAGTTGCACTAGGACCACTAACTGATAAATTACGCCATAAACCTACTCCCGAATCAAAAGCAACGGTAAAATGTGCTGGTGCTGTCAGGTTTACAGTATCAGAACGCTGACCGATTGTTGAGTCTAACACAGTACTATAATCAGAACATGGTTCATTTATTGGTACAGCCTTATAACCACCATTTGTTGAACAATTTCCTATGCAATTAAGTGCAGCCGATACACAACATGATTTAGTAGCTAATAATGGTGTTTGATTAATAATCATAAACCCCCCCCCAGAATAGAAGGGCATGGCTTTCTCTTGTGTCCCGTCGGATCAAACTTTTTAGGGTGGCCTTCTATTAAGAGTGGCCTTCTAAACCGACCTCCTAGATAGAATTTTCTAAA